AACTGGACACCCTAGAAAACTTAAACTCGTTACGTCAAGGAGCTTGGAGCTAGCGCAGTGGGCAGCACGGCCATCTTCAACAGCAGAACATGACTTCCCCAGCAAAACATTTTCCTTTTCCTAGAAATTAAATAACAATCCATAGGTTTTTGAGGTTGTTTGCCTAGCGCAACATAAATCCTCCACCTTTTTCTTTAGGCATTTGTATAGCTCTGCCGTACGATTTAAGCCCTAAACTCGTTCTAGGTTCCGAGGTTGTCGCCTGATACGACGTAAACCCTCATATCTTCTAGGCAATTTGAGTGACCCTGTCACGCAAATATAAGCCCTAATTAAATAAAATTGGCGGGATAAAACACTTTAATATTTTCTTCTCAAAATTGGAGCCAAATCATAGGATAGACTGGGAAGTCACTGAGGTTCTCCTCAAGATCTGTGGCTTCCCCTAGTTTCTCTTCATTTGGATTCTTTAACAATGTTCCAGATTTGAGCTTTTCCCCTTCACACCTCTTCGTCCGATTTCGTTGTAAAGTCCTATCCTTTTGACCTCTTTGAAGACATTATCCCCTGATTTTTATCGAGAGTTTTCTTAGGTGACTTCGGTCATTTGAGATGTAATTAACTATAGGGGCTTGCCCTTATAGGGAGCTTTTCCGAACCCCGCTTTAAATAAACCCTATTTAATTATTTGTATTAAATAGGGGAACTTGTCGGCAAATAAAATGGTTTCGCAGACCCAAACGGATGTCATATCTTTCTTAGTTTATTTGATCGAGCTTCATCCTCAGGTCTTGTGTTTATTCTTCGGGGTAGATACAGGATTTGAGGTAGAGCGCTCTTTCATTTAAACTGTGAAAAATATGAGGTCAGTTTGATTTCGTATTTTTCTAAAATTATATATATATATATGTAAATTAAAAAGTCCTTCCGAAGCGGGTGACGGGATTTCGATTCCGGCGACCGACAGCTTCTTACGGGCGACCCCCAAACGTAACTCCCCCCTTTTTAAACGCCGACAATGTTATTAGTAAAATTCAGGTTGCTTGGTTGAAGTGGAGGAATGCTTCAGGTCAATTGTGTGATAGAAAAGTACCGCTTAGATTGAAAGGAAAATTTTATAAGACGGTGGTAAGAACTGCGATGCTCTATGGCGCTGAATGTTGGCCTTTAAAAGAGATGCATAAAACTAAGTTAAGTGTTGTTGAGATGAGAATGCTTAGGTGGATGAGTGGTTTTACACTTAGAGACAAAATGTGAAACAAATATAACGGTGATAGGGTTGGTGTAGCTCCAGTGGCAGACAAATTGAAGGAGTCGTCTTAGATGGTTTGGTCACATTAAACATCGACCATCAGTGATCGTGTTGGTGTAGCTCCAGTGGCGGACAAATTAGATGAGTCGTCTTAGATGGTTTGGTCACATTAAACATTGATCATCTGATGATCTGGTTAGGAAAGTGGATGTTTTAGATTTAACTTATGTTAATAAAGGCAGAGGTAGACCGAGAAAGACTAGGGCAAATTGTATAAAAAATGATTTTAATTTATTAAAATTAAATGAAAATATGACACTCACTAAAACGCAATGGAGAAAAAGGATTCATGTAGCCAACTCAACTTAGTGGGTTAAAGGCTTGCTGCTATTGTTGTTGTTATTGTTGATGAAATACATTTATATATAGATATTTGCCCACTTATGCAATAAGGTATTATATACTGCATGCATCAGGAATGAAATTTGCAAAACGAATAGAAACTTTTAGCTGAGCCCGGCTTGAAGAGTATTTGTGTAAGGTTTCTTGCAATTACCAATTGTCTTTTGCCCATTCAAATCCATCAGTATCCACAATATGCAAGCTCAATGCATGTCTTGAAGTAGGAGATTTATTTTCAAAGCTGCCAAAACAAGAAAATTGAATAATGTGCTGATATTAATTAAATACTAATAATAGAAAGGATTGGAGAAGCTTCACCTTTGATGTATAAGGTCACCATGTATAACGACTAAAGTGCCCGCTTTTACTTCAAGCGGCACAAACTCCTTTTGATTATAGGATGGCGAATTACGATCAAAGTGGACGCCATTGTCATCTCTAATAAATCTCCGCACAAGGCCGTCTAAATTAGAAACAGAAGCAAGGTTAGAAAGCTAAATTTAAATTTACAAGATTACAACAATTAAGAAAGAAGAAGAAAAGGTCATTATACTCTTGTGTGATCCTGGGATAGCCCAAAGGCAACCATTAATTATGGTTGCATCTTCTAATGCCAACCACAACCCTGTGCATGATGGAGGCTCAGTATAGAGAAAAGAATTATCCTGATGTGGTACCACTTCGCCCCCAATGCCAGGTTGCTACATATAAAATATGAATATTAGATAAAATGGGTTGTAAGCCGGACAAACTTTTAAGAAAATAATTCCTATAAGTCTGTTAAAATAGTCTCATGAAAGCAAAATAATTTCTTTCAGATCCAAATGAGTCTTGTAGAGAACTCAAGACCATATAATCACAGCAGAAAAACGACAATTAGAGTTATCAGAATTGATCCTTAAGAAGGCACCTTAAATATATACATTGACTGAATAACCACAGGTCTCTTGTATCCTAATGAACAAAATATGCTTGAGATCTTTTCTGAGTTCGAGAATTTATTGAATATAGGATCAATTTCATGCAAAGCTGCAAAACAAAAAAATCAATAAGCTACAAAGAGAGAGGAAAGGGGTGTGCGCAAACATAAATATGTAAGCTAATATTCCTATATCCCAAACAATTTTGAATGAGAATTGAGCTAAAATGAAATAAAAATCTCTGTGAATCAATCAGCCCAATGTGTAAGAAACGGTTATTTTTTCAGTCATCCACAAAAAAAAAAAAGGGAAACTCAAGAATTTGAGATCATCTTTAGGGATTAATTTATGAAAGGCTATCAAACATGGGCACTAGCAAATTAATCACTTAAAGCATTGTATCCATTTATTCTTACTGATGAGAGTAATACCATGAAAGCATATTGTGCATGTATCAAAAAGTATAATTGAGCTCGCTGGTAATGCCATCGAATTATAGATCTAAAAAGAGCTAGGAAAATTTTATAAAAATATGAGTGATAAAATATATTCATAAATTCAGACATAATACAAACCTCTAACAAATTGGTGGCAAACTTAGTGCAGAATAGCAACAGCATTTAAAATTTGTACTTAATTGAGTAAAATATGAGCTCCACAGTTTCACAATTTGTATATATCCAAGTATAGAAAATATGATCATAATGATATTGTTTGTTTGCGGCAAGACCTTTAAATATAAAATTAAGGCCATAGATGATGACATGTATCTTGAAAACAACCTAGCATCTAATTGGATCATTTACAAAATATATGAACATAAATCAAATATGCAAAAAAAAAACAAATTGTTCAATTAGCAGCAATATATTTTCATACTAAATAAAAAAAAACTTATGGAATTGTCAAGAATATCATAAGATACTCCGAATTTTTCATTTAACTTGAGCCCTCCTACGCTATACAACTCATTATCCTGATAGTTTTTTTTTTTCCCCTTTTTTCGAGTCTGCTACATTCCTACTATAAAGTTTCATAGCATGCTGAAATCACTATACGAGTAAATAAAACATTTGCACTGCTCTCATGATTAAGTTTTAAGATAGAAAGGCTTAATTTATAACATCTATCATTTTAAATAGCGATCATAGGTCACACACATTGAATAATGTTGTTTATTCATGACTCTTAATTATGACATTAATGGCATACTTTTAATATTTTCATGCCCCTTGGAAGGCCTCATCTTTCTTGTGCAGTAGGATAGACCACCATAAGGAGATAGAAAAATCTGATCAAGAAGATCAAGAGGAGGAAGAAAATTCAGCAAGGAGAGGAAGGAGTGGAGAGGCTTTAGAATTGAGGGAGAGGTCTTGTAGAGAGAAAGAGATCTTGGTGATTCCTCGATGTAATGAGCCTGTAATTCTTCCTTTTGCTAGTGAATTTTGGTAGCGATTCCCTCCGTGGATGTAGGTCTAAGGACCGAACCACGTAAATCTTCTTGTTCCTTGTCGCATTTCATTTCTTGCACTTTTCTTTCTATTTTTCCCTGTTTCTTGCTTGTTGTTGTCTCCATCTCCTTCGACATCCAAGAACCGCACTAGGGAGGAAGAGGCGTCTAGAAGTTCTGCAAGGGAACTCGGCACTTATCTTTCCTTCCTAGTTGCAGGTGCTTATTCGACAGTAAGGAGCTGAAAGAAGCGTTCGGTAATTCCAGCAGGGAATTCGGCGCTTTATTCGTAGAAGGAAGGAGGGGTTCGACACTTCTAGCTAGAGTTCGACATAGGCATTCCTTGGCTACAGGAGAAGATCGACATTTGGCTATAGGTGGGATTTAGCTGTAGGGTGTTCCGCTGTTCACCTTCTTGAATTGCAGTCCGTGGAGTTCCATTCCTACGAATTACAGGAAGTGTGTTCTATTCAAAGACAACAAGGCTACAGGCGCTCGACAAAAACAGCCCATGAGAGGCTCTTGTTGTCCTGCAGCAAGAAGTTCAGCAATCCTATTCTTGTTGGCCGCAGCAAAGGTGTTCCACGACAGTCAAAGTTTCTGGGCTACAGTCCTTCGGTTCTTGGGAGTGCAGCAGATTTTATTTGGCAATTCTGATATTCAGTTCTTTATCATCTAACTCAATCCACTAGAGTTCTTTGGAAGGTTTTCTTTCAGGTGTAATTGGAATTTCTTGAAGGATTCTTGACGGGGCAAGATTTCACAACAATTGGCGCCGTCTGTGGGAATTCCACCTACGACAATGGGCTCCGCAAAATTTGACATCGAGAAGTTCACGGGAAAGAACGACTTCGGCCTGTGGAGAGTGAAGATGAAAGCCTTGTTGGTGCAGCAAGGCGTTGCAGAAGGCTTGCAAGGCTCGGCGACATTTCCGACCGACATGACCGAAAAAGAAAAGAAGGTGATTCTTGACAGGGCGCATAGCTTAATAATCCTGAGTCTTGGCGATAAGGTTCTGAGGGAGGTTTCGAGGGAGACAACGGCTCAAGCACTTTGGACCAAACTCGAGGCCAAACTTGAGGTCCTCTATATGACGTATATGACGAAATCTCTGGCGAACAGGCTCTTCTTGAAGCAGCGTCTATATTCTTTCAAGGTGCACGAGGAAAAATCAGTCTCTGAGCAGATCGATGATTTCAACAAGATTATCGACGATCTCAAAAACATTGAGGTTAAGATGGATGGCGAGGATAAGGCGCTGCTACTACTAAATTTCATTCCTAAGAGCAACAAGCATTTCAAAGATGCGATGTTCTATGGAAGGACGCAAACAATCTCTCTGGAAGATGTTCAATCTATGATCAGAGCCAAAGATCTCCAAAAGAAGCTCGAGACGAACGAAGAAATTAGCGGGGACAGTCTTATCATTAGAGGAAGATCAGACAAAAAAGACTCAAGAAACAATTAAAGCAGATCAAGATCAAAGAAATAAAAGAATGACAGAAGTCAGTCGACAAAAGGATCTTACAAATGTTTTCAGTGCCATAAAGAAGGTCACTTGACTGTCTGGAGAGGAAGAAGGAATTTCAAGAAAATCTTAAAGATCCTGGAGAAGCAAGCATAGCCTCGGATGACTATGATTCAGCTGAAGCACTAGTGATCACCGAATCGGAATTCAGCAATGAGTGGATCCTCGACTCGGGGTGCTCTTTCCACATGTGTCTTCACAAGGACTGGTTCGAGACGCTGCAACTGGCAAATGGTGGGTCCGTACTACTTGGAGATAACAAGACTTGCAGGGTGGTCGACAGTGGAACAAACAGAATCAAGAAGTTTGATGGAGCCGAACGAATACTGCAACATGTCAGGTACGTTCCCGAACTAAAAAGAAATCAGATCTCTTTAGGTATTTAGGTACGCTGGAGTCAAGCCTGGAGTCAAGCGGATACTCGTTCAAGGCAGAAAGTGGTTGCATCAAAGTAGTCAAAGGCTCCCTCATCGTCATGAAAGGAGTTAGGAAGAATGGTCTTCACTCCTTAATTGGAAGAACGGTAATTAGCGGCATCTCTAACGCAGTACGATCAAAACCCGACAGGACTAGACTATGGCACATGAGACTGGGGCATCATGTAAGTGCATGTAAGTGAAAGAGGCTTACAAGAACTGTCCAGACAGAACCTGTTATGTGGAGATCAAGTCAGTAAACTAGAGTTTTGCGAACAATGTGTGTTGGGGAAGACTACCAGAGTGAAGTTCTCCACCGGAACTCACACATCAAAGAAACCACTTGATTATGTACACAATTTATGTACACAATGATCACCACTTGATTATGTACACAATGATCTATGGGGCCCAGCCAGAACTCAAACTCATGGAGAAGGGAGGTACTTCATGTCTATCATAGCAGGAAACACTAGGAAGGTATGGGTCTTTATCCTTAAAACCAAGAATGAAGCTTTTCAACGATTCAGAGATTGGTTAACTCTCAATGAAAACAAGATGGAAGCAAAACTGAAGCACTTAAGAACTGACAATGGCCTGGAGTACTGTTCAGAGCAGTTCGATGAGTTATGCAGGAAGAAAGGCATTACGAGACACAAGACAGTCCGGAACACTCTTTAACAGAACGACTTGGCTGAAAGGATGAACAGGACTCTCTTAGAGAGAGTGAAGTGCATGCTCTTAAATGTCGGCCTACCCAAATCTTTCTGGGGTGAAACTGTGTCAACCGCTTGCTATCTTATCAATAGATGTCCATCGACAACTATTGGAATGAAGACTCCTTTGGAGTTGTGGTACGGGAAACCAGGTAACTATGAAAATCTCAAAATTTTTGGATGTATTGCATATGCTCATGTTAGACAGGATAAGCTGGAAGCAAGTGCTTTAACGTGTATTTTCATCGGCTATCCACCTGGAACCAAAGGCTACAAACTGTGGTGTCTAGATCAACAGAAATGCATCATCAGTAGAGATGTGGTATTCGATGAGTCCAAAATGGCAAACATGCAAAGCTACGTTACCAAGAACAGTGCTACTAAGGAGGATACTCCAATTGAGGTGGAGCTGCAACATCAACAAATCTTGATGGATCAAAGGACTGTTGCAAACAATCAAGATGAAGCGGCAGAAGACCAACAAGAAACTGAACCAGAAAGCAGATCAAATGACTATAGTTTGGTGAGAGATAGGCAGAGAAGAAACATCAAACCGCCAGAGAGATATGGTCATGCAAATTTGATCTCCTATGCATTGAGCGTCGCAGAAGAGATAAAAGAAGCAGAACCAAATAGCTACAAGGAAGCTCTAAAGAGTAAAGAGAGACACAAGTGAGAAGATGCTATGGATGAAGAGATAGCTTTCCTGATGAAGAACAAGACTTGGGAACTTGTGGACCGACCAAAGAACCAACGCGTCGTTGGTTGTAAGTGGACCTTCAAGAAGAAGAGATAGCTTTCCTGATGAAGAACAAGACTTGGGAACTTGTGGACCGACCAAAGAACCAACGCGTCGTTGGTTGTAAGTGGACCTTCAAGAAGAAGGAAGGCATCCTATGCAGCCAGGAGGTCAGGTATAAAGCAAGACTTGTAGCAAAGGGGTTCACACAGGTAGAAGGAATTGACTTGAACAAAATCTTCTCGCCCATGGTAAAGCACTGCTTGATCAGGATAGTTTTAGCACTAGCGGTTCAATTCAATTTGGAATTAAAGCAGCTAGATGTTAAAACTGCATTCCTACATGGAGAGTTGGAAGAAACCATATTCATGGAACAGCCAGAGGGGTACAACACTCCTAAAACTAAGGATAAAGTCTGTTTGCTGAAGAAATCTTTATACGGACTGAAACAAAGCCCAAGGCAATGGTACAAAAGATTTGATGAGTTTATGCTGAGGATTGACTTCGTCAGAAGCAGCTGCGACAGTTGTTTCTACATGAAGAAACAAGATGATATAAGTACTTACTTACTCCTATACGTGGACGACATGTTAGTAGCCAGCAAAAGCAAGAAGGAAGCCCAGAAAATCAAAGGTATGCTGAACTCAGAATTTAACATGAAGGACCTAGGACCTGCTACAAAGATCCTAGGGATGAAGATTACAAGAGACGGGAAAAAGGGAAGCTTATTCTTGTCTCAGAAGTCATACACTCAGAAAGTTCTGGCAAGGTTTAACATGCATGAGGCCAAGCAGGTTTCAACACCAATTGGTCAACACTTCAGATTGTCAAACTCTCAAGCCCCTGAGAATGAAGATGAGAAAAGATACATGGAGGGTGTCCCCTATGCCAGTGGGGTTGGTAGCATCATGTATGGGATGGTTTGCAGCAGACCAGACTTGGCCTACGCCGTCAGTATCGTAAGCAGATTCATGGCAAATCCAGGACAGGCTCACTGTGAAGCTCTAAAATGGATCTTGCGATACTTAAAAGGTACCACTGATTTGGGGTTGCTCTTTAAAAGGCAGGAGGACAAAGATGAAAAGATAGTCGGCTACGTGGACTCTGATTATGCGGGAAGCATTAACACCAGGAGGTCACTAACCGAATTCATCTTCACCGTCTTCGGCACTGCAGTCAGTTGGAAGTCTAACCTTCAATCCGTGGTGGCTCTCTCAATAACAGAGGCTGAATATATAGTTGTGACTGAAGCAATTAAAGAAGCTATGTGGCTAAAAGGCATGGCTAAAGAACTTGGTGTATGTCAGAAGATTATAACTGTGTTCTGCGATAACCAAAGCACAATTCACCTAACTCGGAACCAAGTCTTTCACGAAAGGTCAAGCATATAGACGTGAAGCTTCACTTTGTGAGAGATGTTGTAGCCAAAGGTTCTATAGTTGTGGAAAAGATTCATACTGAAGATAACCCCGCCGACATGTTAATGAAAGTTTTACCGACTGCTAAGTTCAGATATTGTCTGGAGTTAGTAAATTTCACTGGGGGCTAAGGGCCCCATCCGGGCTAATTTGAGGGAATATCTAGAGCGTTTTAATTAAGAGTCAAGGTGGAGAATTGTTGTTTATTCATGGCTCTTAATTATGACATTAATGACATACTTGTAATATTTTCATGCCTCTTGGAAAACCTCATCTATAAATAGATGAGGGGTCTTGTGGGGTAGGATAGACCGCCATAAGAAGATAGAAAAATCTGATTAAGAAGATCAAGAGGAGGAAGAAAATTCAGCAAGGAGAGGAAGGAGTGGAGAGGCTTTAGAATTGAGGGAGAGGTCTTGTAGAGATAAAGAGATCTTGGTGATTCCTCGATGTAATGAGCTTGTAATTCTTCCTTTGTGCTAGAGAATTTTGGTAGTGATTCCCTCCGTGGATGTAGGTCTACGGACCAAACCACGTAAATCTTCTTGTTCCTTGTCGCATTTCATTTCTTGCACTTTTCTTTCTATTTTTCTCTGTTTCTTGCTTGTTGTTGTCTCCATCTTCGACATCCAAGAACCGCAGTAGGGAGGAAGAGGCGTCTAGAAGTTCTGCAAGGGAACTCGGCACTTATCTTTCCTTCCTAGTTGCAGGTGCGTATTCGACAGTAAGGAGCTGAAAGAAGCGTTCGGTAATTCCAGCAGAGAATTTGGCGCTTCATTCGTAGCAGGAAGGAGGGGTTCGACACTTCTAGCTAGAGTTCGGCATAGGCATTCCTTGGCTACAGGAGAAGATCGGCATTTGGCTATAGGTGGGATTCAGCTGTAGGGTGTTCCGCTGTTCACCTTCTTGAATTGCAGTCTGTGGAGTTCCATTCCTACGAACTGCAGGAAGTGTGTTGTATTCAAAGACAGCAAGGCGTCCAGGCTACAGGCGCTCGACAAGAACAGTCCAGGAGAGGCTCTTGTTGGCCTGCAGCAAGAAGTTCAACAATCCTATTCTTGTCGGCCACAGCAAGGTGTTCCACGGCAGTCAAAGTTTCTGGGCTACAATCCTTCGGTTCTTAAGAGTGCAACAGATTTTATTTGGCAATTCTGATATTCAGTTCTTTATCATCTAACTCAATCCACTAGAGTTCTTTAGAAGGTTTTCTTTCAGGTGTTCTTGGAATTTCTTGAAGGATTCTTGACGGGGCAAAATTTCACAGCAAATAATTTAGTGGAAGACATCCATTAATTAAGGGGTGTTTGGGATCACTTTTTAATTTTAATTTTTTAATTTTTTAACTTTTATTTTGTATTATTTATGTTGTTGCTTAAAATGAACATATTTAATATGTTATAACAAAGTTTTTAAAAACAAATTAATTTATTTTTGAAAATAAAATATGTAAAAAATACTCTAATCAAATATGTTTTAAAATAAAAGAAAAAAGAAAACAAAAAAAATAAAAGAGAACCCAAACAAGCCCTAAAATATCACTTCTAGCTCTTTTTTAAATGCAATTAAATGAACACTTAAAGAAATTTATTTGATTTGCATATACATATAAAAAGAAATTTATGAAACATTGATCTCACAACCAGAATCACCTAACTTTACATGCTTAATATGTGCTCGTCGTATCAAATAAAATTATGGACTTGCTTTTTTAGTAGTTTCATGTGTAGATAGATCAAATGGTTCTTTTTGTTTTTTATTTGGACACTTCACTGAAAATTGCGGAAAAATAAACTTTCATAATAGCATACTACCAAACATAATGCATACATATGGTGTAGATACACGAAAATGCATCACTACCGGTAAGACAACCACAAACCATGTCCAACTTTATTAATGGAGAGCTCCTTTGGTTGCCTCAAATTGCCATCATTCCCAAATGCTTTCTCTACAAATAAAAAGTAAAAAAATTTAAAAAAATTTTAAAAAAAAAACAAGTTTCTGAAAAAGGGTTTGGCACTTGAAGTAGTAACATATTAATTAGTACTAACAACCGATAAAAAAAAGGCTGAAAAACAGAGGTTATAAGATAAGTTTCAAAGATTGACATCAAATATAGTACACAAAAATATGATTAGGAAAAAAAGCATTAGAATAACAATGCATCAATGAGTATATTTTACTCCTAAGGATATCAAAAAAAGAGTGGGAAATAGACATAAGACATTATGTGTGTTTCCAAAATCAAATAGAGAACCCCTTAACATGAATATATCTAAAGAATTAACCTAAGCGTACTGTAGATGAGACTAAGTTAGAGACTGCTCGACTAAAAATAGGAATAAATTCAAGTATGATTTTTCAAATCTTGTAGATCCATACACAATATATCATGGAAGTGTTAAATCTTGAAAATTTTTTATCATGATTGATGTTGAATCTAGAAAAGTACCGCTTAGACCGAAAGGAAAATTTTACAAGATGGTGGTGAAACCTGCAATTTAATACTGTCATTGCCAGATCCCAAATCCGGGATGTGAAAAGTGGAGGGTTGTGTTAAGTAGTCGACAACCAGCATAGGATTTGTTGAAAAAATCATGATATGAATCTTTTTTATCATTATGTACATGTTAGGGCGCCTCTTAGAAGTGACGCGTTGTATGACCTGGATACAGTGAAAAGTGTGCAAGGGCCGCTACACCGACGCCCTAGTGTAGTGTCAAACAAGCAAGAGTTCCCACATTACAGACGGATGCGGGTAAAGAAGTTAGTCCATGAAACTAATACTATGATAGGAACTTGCAATATAGATACTCTCACAAGTAAACTAATGGAATTAATTGATATTATGATTCATATAAAGATAAATATCTTATGTATTCAAGAAACTAAATGGTTTGGAAAAATTCTAAGTAGACTGATAGCTTGGGTTTTAAACTTTGGTATTCAAGGAAGAATCGCACTAAAAATGGTGTATGAATAAATATAGATAAGAGTTTAAAAGATAATATTATAAAAATTAATAGAATTAGAGATAGAATTATAACCTTTATGACTGTTGTTAATATTAAAATTTTTAATATTATAAGTACTTATATTCCTCAAGTAGGTTTAGATATAGTTTCTAAAAAAAATTCTAAAATGACCTATCAGAATTAATACAAATGACACCTCTTGAAAAAAAAAATTATTGGAGGAGATTTAAATGGACATGTCGGTAGAGTAATAGAAGCTTTAAAAATATTCATGGTGACTACGGTTTTGAAGTGATAAAGGAAGAAGGTTGAGTCATATTAGATTTTGCTTTAGCGTGTGATTTTGCTATTGCTAATATTTTATTGAAGAAAAGAGATGTGTATATTATTACATATAAGAATAGATCGAATAAAACATAAATTAATTATTTTATTATGAGAAGCAGAGATCGTCGAGAATTCAAAAATTAAGAGATCATTCCAAGTGAGAATTTAAGTACTCAATATTGGTTATTAGTTCTGAATTTTAAGATAAAGAGTCATAAAATAAAGAATATTGGGAATCATTGTCATAGAATTAGATGAGAGCGCCTAAAAGACACAAATAAATTAATTTTATGAGTAAATTTCAAGATGTTAATATTTGGGATGTTCATGAAGAAGCAAATTCCGTATGAGATAAATTAACAAACATTATTAAATAAGAGGCAAAAGATGTACTTGGAGAATCAAAAGAAAAAGTTTCTATAAATAAAAATAGTTTGTAGTAGAATAATAATGTGCAAGAAAAGATGAAATATAAGAAGTTATGTTATCAAAATTGGTTTAAATGTAAAAGTTTAGAGAACTGAAAAAAAAGTATAAAATAACCCGTAAAGAGTCTAAGAGATAATGTGACGCTTAAAATTTTGATTTTAGTGATCTTTATAATATATTAAATACTAAAGAAGGTGAAAAATATATGTATAAACTAGTCAAAGAAAGAGGAAAAAAAAGTTAAGATTTAACTAAGTAAAGTGTATTAAAAATGAAAATAAAAAAAATATTTTTTAAAAAAGATATTTAAAATAGATGGGTGAGTTATTTCGATAAATTTTTCAAAGAAATTTCTGAAAATATGATTAACCTTAGTGATTTTAATATCTTTAATACTAATAAAATGTTATTTTTATCATTGCATTAATAAAAAAGTTGTAGAGGCTTTAAAGAAAACCAAGAGTCAAAAGTCTGTTGAACCTGATGATATCCCAATTAAAGTACAGAAATATTTAGGAGATTTGGAGTTTTTTGGCTTACTAAACTCTTTAATATTATTTTTAAAACTAAAAAAAAATGTTTGAGTGGAGAAAGAGTATTTTGACCCCCATTTTGAAGAATAAAGAGAATGAAAAAGAGTGAAAATTATAGAGAAATTAAGTTGATTTGCCATACTTTAAAATTATGGGAGAGAGTAATTGAATATAGGTTAAGACACATTCCAAAAATTTCTCATAATCAATTCGAATTTATGTAGGGCATGTCTACCATGGAAGCTATACATTTATTGAGGGTTTGATGGAGAAACACAGATAAGGAGGATCTACATATGATTTTTATAGATTTAGAAAAAACTTATGATAAGGTTCCGAGTGATCCTTTGGAGAGTTCTAGAGAAGAAAGGCGTTGATATAAATTATATTAAAGGTATTATAGAAATGTATACTAGATTGTAACTTGCGTTTAAATAGGGGGATTGACCAAATATTTTTTTATTCAGTTGAATTACATCAAGGATCGACATTAAGCCCATAACTTTTTGTTTTAGTTATGGACGCTCTTACTGGACATTTGTCGGAGGATGTACCTTGTTGTATATTTTCGTTGATGATATCCTTCTTGTGGATAAGATTAGAGAAAGAGCTCAAGAAAAACATGAACTATGACGGTCTACAATGGAGTCTAAAGGCCTTCATTTGAGTAGAATTAAAACTGAATACATGAAATGTAATTGTAGTAGCAGTAGCTCTAGTGACAGAGTTGTAACTATGGGTGATCAAATTATTAAAAGGTGCGAACACTTTAGATATCTCGGGTCTATTGTCCGAAGTAATGTTGATATAGATCGGGGCGTTATTAGTAGAATTCAAGTTGGTTGGCCGAAGTGGAGGAATGCTCCGGACCTATTGTGCAATAGAAAAGTATTGCTTAGATTGAAAGAAAAATTTTATAAGATAGTGATAAGACTTGCTATGCTCTTTAAAAAAGAAGCATAAAATTAAGTTAAGCGTTGCCGAGATGAGAACACTTAGGTGGATGAGTGATTGTACACTTAGAGACAACACACGAGTGTAGCTCAATTGGCGGACAAAATTAGAGAACCGTCTAAGATGGCTTGGTCACATGAAACGTCGACCATCTGATGATCCAATAAGGAGAGTGAATGTTTTAGATTCAACTTATGTTAAGAAAGACAGAGGAAGATCAAGAAAAACGTGGGCATATTGTATAAAAAAATGATATTAATTTATTAGAATTAAATGAAAATATGGCACTCAATAAGATGCAAAGGAGAAAAGGGATTCATGTAACCGACCCACTTAGTGGGAGAAATGCTTCTAGTTGTTGTTGTGGTGAGACTTGCAATGCTCTATGACACAGAATATTGGCCTTTAAAAGAGAATAAATCAAAGTTAAGTGTTGCTGAGATTATAATGATTAGATGGATGAGTAGCTTGATACTTAGAGACAAAATGTGAAATGAATATATCCGTGATAGGGTTGGTGTAGCTCCAGTGGTGGACAAAATTAGAAAGAGTCATCTTAGATGATTTGGTCACATTAAACGTAAATCATCTTATGATCCTGTTAAAAGAGTGGATGTTTTAGGTTCCACTTATGTTAAGAAAAGCAGAGATAGACTTAGAAAGACTTGGCAGATTGTATTAAAAAAATTAACTTAATCTATTAAAATTAAATAAAAATTGAATGTTCAATAGGACGCAATGGAGAAAAAGGATTCATGTTGCCAACCCCACTTAGTGGGATAAAGGTTTGCTATTGTTGTTGTCGTTGATGTTAAATCTAGATAAATCCTAGTAAATTGTTGTCCAGTTAGTTTCAAGATTTAGGATTTAAATGAAAGAAATTAAGGTCGTGAGATGAAGGGATGTAAATCAATTAAACATACTTCCCCCAAGGTTTATTAAATTTAGGATTTAGCCTAAAAAACGAAATGAAAACAGGTTTTAAAATGCTATCAGGACTTATGTGGCTTAAAAAAAAAAACTTCCAAGCAAGATTTAAGCTAAATCATGGCTAAGAAAGCCACCAAGCAATCATTAACGGGTTCATGAAAGAGAGACTTATACACCAACATGCTTTCACATACCAAATTTGTTTGCCCCAAACAACCAAAATACTAAATTCTTTGGACTAAGAAATCGGACGAGTTTACTATCTTCAGGAAAAAGCAATACAAAGGGTTAAATTTTTAATTTAAAAGTACTAGCTAAGGATATAAAATGAAAACAATTATGATTGATAAACATCTGACAAGCTCCTTGGTTTCCAAAACTAACTATAAATTTATTGAGCAATAGAGGAATGCAGAAACCTTCAAAGAAGAACGAAATTTTCTCTGCACTCTCAAAGAAGTAATCATCCGTAAGCTGCTGCTGTCATTATTAAAAAAAAAAAAAAACTTAGCAGAATCAAACTCCACTGCCGTCTTCCCTCTTACGCCCACCATCCCACCACGCACCACCAACGCGACGAAATAACTAAATAAAGCACAAACCTGGTTCTTGGTCGAAAAGATGGAAGAGGAAGAGGGTGCATCGAAACCGTCAAGTAGCTCTGCCATGCGATTCCTCATCTCAAGGACCTCGTCAGAGCTATAGAATGATTCGATAACCAGAAACCCTAAGCCCACAGAAATCGGTCGCAATCATTATTTCTCCGGAAAGGAGAATCGTTACCTAACGACTCGCGGAGAAAAAAAAAAATTTAACGAAGATTTTAATACCATTGGAGTCGAAAAAGTTGAGCTGCTCCTTGCTTAAACTCCCGATCAGCCCCATCGCTTTCCTTGAGAGCAATTAGACGGAAGCTTGAGGTGTTCGTCGGAAAAAATAAATCAACAACTCCCCGGCAGCACCGAAAATTGGGAGAATGGAACGAGGACGCCAAGTTCTTACTAATCTACTTTAAGACAGATTATGCAAATTAATTCACCGACTAAATGATCCGCTTTTGTGACAGATGCAACCCCCCGTCGAACCAGAGACTACGGATAATCTAGCCAAACAGAGATGTTGATCTGTCTATCTCCCCAGCCCAACTCAAGAGTTCAACATGGGCAACTGTCTTATAGACGCCCATGAGATTCCTCACAAAGGGCTGAAAATTTATAATAACATACTCCACAAATATCTTGAATGACCCATCGTTATAGAATAAGCTATCTATCGAATTAGAGCATTTTACTCTCTGCCCGATAGTCTAGTGTTGTTATACTGGTAGGACGTCCTCATCCAGAGACCAACAAGACAGTCATATTAGAATAATTGATCAACGAAGCCAAGTCAATCAAGTCAGTCTTGCCGACCCGAACACCATCAAAGGCCGACTGACAACCCCGCTTCAAAACAGTGAGACGAGCAAGTCTTTTGTATAACGCTTCAAAACACCATCAAAGGCACACTGATTTTAGCCGACCTAATTATAAGGTAGCTGAAAAGTAGGAACATACACATAAATTATCGAAAATATCTTATATCACTCTCATTAAAGCAATGGTAAACATGTAGCTTAACATATTGTACTAACTCTCTATAAATATGAAAACCATTTTATAAGCAAAGGCCATTGGATAAGACTAGTCAATGTTCATTACCAGATATCTCTCTCTTTCTCTTGTTTGACGCTCAACTCCTTGGGTGTCATTTATGGGCAGATCAGAATTCAACACTATGATTAATAATTTGAGAAATTTAAATACACAACATAAAATTCTTATATACTTACATGTTTAACACTCAAATTTGATACTTATATTTATAACACTTTGGTGTCATAAAACTTATACATGACACTGTGTATTTACATAAAATAATAATAAATTAATTAGTGTGATATTTTTGTTGCGTTGTTAGAAATTTAAGGGCAATGGATGCAAAAATAAAAAATCAGGTGTGTTAAATATGTAAATACATATGAATTGTTTTGTATACTGTTGTTGAATCCAAATCTATCCGAGAGAATGCCCAAGGGGTAGAGCTAATCGTTCGAATGGGAGAAAGGAGGGGGAGAGAAAGAGAGATATTTGCTCCCGAGGGGCAAAGGGAGGTACTCCCAGGCTCTTTGGCTCCTTTTATTACTTAGAAAAGGGGTGGTCACATAAGAGAGGAAGGGGAGAGAGATCTCCTTACATGGGGTTGAGAGGGAGAGTCTCGGGCTTTTTACACACGCTAGGGGTCCTCTATTTATAAGAGTGAAAAGGAAGGAAGGGGAAGATTACAATTATGCCATTGCTTTTATAGGGGTTGTAAGGGGTACTTCGGTCCTTCTATCGCCTAGATCTGAAGAACTAGGCCTTGGTGCCTGCGGAGTCCGTCGATGTACTGGAGCTTTTCCATCAGCAAGGCACGTCTGCGTCCAGTGGCGGTCGACTACAGGTGGTTAGTCGGTTGCTGGTTGGTGGTTGGCCAAATGTGGTCGGCCAATTGGAGGTGGTAGACCGATCAACTGTTGGTTGTTGGTTGGTTCAGTTTGGTCGGCCGACTGGTCAGCTTCAGGTGACTGGATAGTGAGAGAGCAAACTACTGGTGCGATTCTGACGACGGTTCCTTTGGCCTGGCGAAAACGCTTCCTTTGGCTCGGCGAGATAATATTTTCCAACTATACAACTGTTATGTATATAAATGCCCCCCTAAATATTATTTGTGTGTGAAATTTTATGACAAAAAATGATATTAGTATTATACAAAATATTTAATAAAAGACTCTGTAATATAAAAAACATGGAGATATTTTTTCAAGAAAATTTTTTATTTAAGAACTTCATAAGAATATTATGGAATCAAAGACAATTAAAATAAATTTACTATATATTTTGAATAGTATTGATACATCCTTGACAGATTTTGTCAAGTGTCACGATACTTGATGTAATTAACATTAATTTTGAGATATTTTTTGAATAAGAAACATTCAAACTCAAAGTAAAAAACATCTAGAACATCGATTTCAACAAATTTATAGTCAAACTAATCGGCTTGACGAGATAGACCCATTAACATCAAAATTGGTTCACTCCGAGTCAAATCAAGCCCAAATCAAGCCATTAAACTACATTTGATAAAAAAATTATGAGTACAAGCATTATACCATTCACTAACACAACTATAATAGCAACAACAACAACAACAACAACAACATTAATCCCACTATGTGGGGTCGGCTACATGAATCCTTTTTCTCCATTGTGACCTATTTAGTTTCATGTTTTCATTTAGTTCTAGTAAATTAAGATTAGTTCTAGTAAATTAAGATCAAGATCATTTTTTATACAATCAGCCCAAGTCTTCCTAGGTCTACCTCTGTCTTTCTTTACACAAACTGAATCTAAAACATCTACTCCCCTAATCGGATCATTAGATGGTCGACGTTTAATGTGACCAAACCATCTAAGA